CACACACATGTAAATACACACAATATACATCACGGGAAGCAAACTTGTACACACACGTACTTTGACGGTGGCGCGATAAAGAAGATGCACTACTATACAGTACACTAGTGGCACGAGACGTTGCGAAAACGCTTTGCCACCACTCGAATGAGGAACTTGGGGTACAGTATACATTTATAGATATATATATATATATATAATGTATGTAAGGCTCTACAGGGTTAGCTAGGTTTAGGTGTATGTGTTTGTGTATATATATAGAATTTATTTTATATGTGAATATGTGAGGCCAACATGTCTAGGTAAATCTTAGCCAGTCCCGGTACGTTGTTTAATTTCTGGGTCGATAGTTATTTTTATTTACTTCTTTTATTATTTAAACGCTTTATTTCTTCTTTGTTTTTAGGTTATTATTTCATTAATGCGTTTCACTTGGAAAAAATTGCATTGTCCCTGCTGTAAGCCAGTAAGTCAAAAGCTAAATTGAGAATAAATAAAAAATATTTAAATTAAAATTTATTTAATCATTTTTTTAACAAATAAATTATGGCAAAAATAATTATTAAAAAAATTGACCTGTAGAAATTTTAAAAAATTAAGAATGCAATTTTTTAAGAATAATTTTTTGAAAAAAAAATTTTTAAATAAAATTAAAAAATTGTCGTGACTGCTAACTTTAATGTCATAAATTAAAATTAGTTTTGCAGATATTTAATTGTTTTTTTAACAAATAAATTATGGCAAAAGTAATTATTAAAACAAATTGACATGTAGAAATTTAAAAAAATTAAAAATGTAATTATTTGGAGCAAATTTTTTTGTTAAAAAAAAAATTTAAAAATGGTCACTGCTTACTTTAATGTTATGAATAAAAATAAAAATTAATTCTGCAGATATTTAATAATTTTTTTTAACAAATAAATTATTACAAATAATTTATTTGTTACAAAAATTATTAAATATCTGTTTAATTAATTTTTTATTTGATAATTCCATTTTTAGAAGCTCTAAATAAATTATCAAAACAATTTATTATTTATTAAATATAATTTTTAGAACTTTTAAGCATTTTTTTTTTTTCATTAATTAAATAAGAACTAGAAAAATATTTTTTATGATTTTTTAATAAAAAAAATTGTAATAATTTTCAGATATTTGGAATTTTTACGACAAATTATTTATTATAAAAAAAATGTTCTTATAATTTTTTTTAATTTTTGCAGGTGTAATTTTTTCACAACAATTTAGTTGCATTTCTGTTAAAAAAAAAGGGAATAAAATAAATTGAGAAACAAGTGAATTGAATAAACATAAAAATATTAGCGGTGAAGGCAAAAGGAGTGTAAAAAAGGTATTTATTTTAAAAAATGATAAAAAGGAATTCGAGACAATGCGATAACCAACTAAAAGTTTAAAAGTACGTGATTTGAATCTGGTACAAGCGAAGAGACGATAAGGGACAAGTCTCTGAAAATGGGCAATGTATGGCTAAAGTCGGTCGCCATGAGCCATTAACATACTCTTATCTAAAAAGACTTGCAAAAGTATATAACGCCGAATAATAAGATAGCAGTTACCAACACAGAGAACCAGTCGAGAGTTACTCAGCTCGGCTCTACTCTGTAGTTCCGAGTAAGTAAAAGTAAGGTGGTTAAACACTAAAAAGTATAAAAAACTACCATCAGGTTTATCAGCTTCACATGTAATGCTCGTCTCTTTTGAATTACATAAATCATCCGTAGAGTCCAGCCAGATCCAGGGTACTGCTGATGACCACTGAGTAATGTATCCAACAATTAACGCAAGTATACTGTTGCTTTAAATTCATTATCGTTTACTAATTACTTTCAATGATTTCGGGTCATTGTATTTCTGCTACTGCTACTCCTGTAATTTATTACCTTTGTAAATACATATGTATGTATATGTGTTTATTATTTATGTCTACGGTAAATATATTTGTTATATGTGTATATAATCAATTTGACGTACATACGATGCCAACTATTTCAATTCTCTCGTTTATCCACAGAGAACTTGTTTATAAACTCAGCCTCGTACTAATTTAACTACGGTTCGACTGTTAACCACACTACCAAAGTAACCACACCAGTATATAACTTTATTATAAAATTAAAACAGTTTAATTTTCAAAATTATCAAATACACATTAAACGTCGCTCTTGATAATAATTTCCATTCTACCCAGCATACATATATACATATATATTTGTTTATCACAGTACAATCAACTGTGATATACGTCTGGCCACATACAATTACAGTTAATTAGTCAAAATATAAAGTATTGTATTTTCAAAAGTATTCTAGCGTAATTTTAAATTAAAAACTTTTTAGTTTTAACTTTAAAAAAATTTTTTTAATTTATAATAAGTATTTAAGCTGCATTCGGAAATTATCTATCTCTAGATACATTAATTAAGAAATTACCTTGTATCTTGTGAAATATTAACATTTTTAAAGATATAAGCTCATCCCGATGGTACATTCATTAAGACCTTTCATTTGAGTATCCACACCAATTTTTCATATATTTTATATATTTATATATTCCACAAATACCATATATCTTTAAAAATGTCATTAGTTAAGATACAATGTCATTTCTAAATTATTGACATTTTTTAAGATATAAGCTCATCTCGATGTTACATTCATGAAGACCTTTCATTTGAGTACCCACACCAATTTTTCATATATTTTATATATTTATATATTCCACAAATACCATATATATAAAATATATAAAAAATGTCATGTGGGTACTCAAATGAAAGCTCTTGATAAATGTAACATCAGGATGAGCTTATATCTTTAAAAACTTCAATATTTAAGAAAGTACAATGCAATTTAACAAAAGTCATAATTTAGTAAAGCAAAATTTTGATATAGTAACTGCAAGGTTGCTAGTACAATAATTAAATATCATAATAATTATTTGTTATTTAAATACCAATATTTATTTTTGACTCTGATAATTGCTGATTAAATGTTAACACACAAATTTACTGATTTAAGAAAATGAAATATTTATCTCAATTATCTCCAATAAATTGATCAGCGAGCCAAAAGTGAGTAATTATATTACATGTCACTAATAAATTTATTTATTCAAGTAGATGGTGGTTGAATGACTATTTAAAGATATAACTGTACCATTTGGCACATTGAGAGTATTGAATATTCTCGGTACGAATTAATATTTAATGTTTGGATCGATAAAGACTTAATACGTCTGCAAGTAAAGGCTCCACACGAGCATTGTGTCTGGTTTTACCATTTACGCGTGACTACACTGTCACTGCTGCTAGAATAAATGTAAGTACAAGTACATAGTAGCATAGAGGAAAACCCTTCTTAAACTTTTTTTATATTTACCATACTTTTTTTTCCGCCACGCGATTGATCGATTAATCCAATTCTCAAATAATTTCTTTGTCGAGCTTTTTTCATGAGACTCTCAGCTGCGACCTGGGACTCTATATAATACTGTAGTATAACTCTAACCCAATACCGGCAAGCTATTATTAGCGTAACTGGAGTTTTTTACTCCGCAAAGTAACTGAAATAGCCGGTGTCATAGATAAATAATTAACATGACAATGTAACTGGTTTAAAGCCAACACAAAGAGTCCATAAGTAAATTGACATGGGGTGAATATGACGTCAGGTTTGAAATTATTGATTTCTAGTTCTTTATTTTAGTCGAGCTATTTTAAACAAGTTGTCTTTATTTTTAGTAAAGATTACTATGTCGATTCATTATAACTTACTTGACGTTTTTTTACCAGAAAATGTCAAGGAATAAGTCTTTGCTAAATATCATACTTGTATCAACTACCTGCGTGACTCTTACTCGACTTTACATCACTCTTACGCTCATTTAAATATTTAAGTTTCTATATACTTATATAAACTTATTGATTGTTAAATTTTTTATCGCTATGACATTCATAACTTTTGTTAGCATTGTTTTATCTAGATCAACGTGTCGCATTTACTAAAAAGTTATTGAAAAAAAAAAAAAAAAAAAGGAAAAAAAATAATATTTACACAGCTGATAAATCTTTATTACAATTAATCATAAGCATACATTTTTTTTCATACTACAATATAATTTTTAATTATGAAAATTAAATTAGACGACATTTGAAAATTTTTATAATTTTTTTATTAAAAAATTATTTCTTAAAAATTTCACATGTAGAAAATTTAAAAAATTATACATGTATTTTTTTAAGTATTTTTACACTTTTATATAAATTATTGGAAAAAATGACCTTGTATCTCGAAAACTATTGACATTTTTAAAGATATAAACTGATCCCGATGTTACACTCATCTAAAGCTTTAATTTGAGTACTCACATCAATTTTTCATATATTTTATATATTTATATATTCCACAAATACCATATATATAAAATATATAAAAAATGTCATGCGGGTACTCAAATTAAAGCTCTTGATGAGTGTAACATCAGGATGAGCTTATATTTTTAAAAACGTCAATATATAGTTAAGTACAGAGCAATTGAACATAATAAGGGAACGACCTTGTATCTTGTGGAATATTGACATTTTTAAAGATATAAGCTCATCCTGATATTACACTCATCAAGACCTTTCATTTGAGTACCCACATCAATTTTTCATATATTTATATATATTATATATATATGTATATATGAAAATGCATGTGGGTATTCAAATGAAAGCTCTTGATGAGTGTAACGTCGAGATGAGCTTATATCTTTAAAAATGTCAATAGTTAAAAAAGTACAGTGCAATTTAACGAAGGTTATTAATTTATTAAAGCAAAATTTTATTTATTCATAGTTTACAAATCACAGCAGTCCCATAATGACTGCAAAGTTGCTAGTTTTAATATAATTTTATAATTAACTACGTATTTAATTAAGATACAGAGCAATTAAAAATTTCCATTTATAAACAATAAAATAAAATTTATTTATCTAGCGTAAAGAAGTACCAGGAAATTAATACCATGACTCCTTTGGCTCTTGAATTTAATGGTGACATTGTTGGTTCCTGGCCCGCCTCTAACTATTTTAGCATAAGCTCCATTTCCATTAGTTTTCTGGTCCAACGCTTGGAGCTGAGTTATCCTGAGGTTCTTGCTAACATTGAAGGTTTTTTCAACGGAAACAACTTGAAGCCACGAGGAAGACTTAACGATGTACTCCTGGTAGTAGAGACGATCGCCAGGTAGTCTGCTACCAGCTATTAAGTGGTGAGATTTATTGGTTGTATTGGCAGCGTAATGATCGAGGTACTTGGCTGGCGGTGCGTATGTTGCAATACCAATTGCTGCTACCAATGCAAGTAACACAAAGCACTTCTTAATCATTTTTTTACAACTTAATTCTAGTACTGTAGTTTAATCACAATTGTGTGTAGTTGTTTATGCTGCAGTTCTGTAATTATCGCCGATATATATACTCTGTTTTTAATCTTATCTGTTGTTCGCAGAACTTCGAGATGTATGAAAAAATCCGATACGAGAGGAGTAAGACCAACAGAAAGATATATGTGCAGTTCTTAATCGTTATTATCAACCAACAGCATTTTACTCTATAAATGACTCATGTCAGTGTAAATACTGATTTTAATAATGATAACTCAAGCAAAAAAATATAATGATGCCGTCATTATTCAAGGAATTACTCACTTCATAAATATTTTTAATTATCAACCTGGATAATTATAAATTAAAATTTTTTTAAATTATTTATTGAAAATTTTTAATAAAATTTGAATTTTTGCTGAAAAAATTTGTAAGTATTTTTTTTTTAAATAATTATTTATTATTTTTTATAGAATTTATCTCTCGGAATGAATCAGAGATTTTTAGATTATTTTATTACATAATTTATTGCGTAAAATAAGATTTATAAAAATTTTTAATACATTTAACTGGAAGAGTTATGTAAATATTAGTATGAAATTTTTTTTTTGTGTAGGAGTAAAGATAGAAAAATAAAAAAAAAATAATTATCACCTGCATTAAATAGAATTTGAGCGCAATTTAAATCATTTTTTTAAAAGTTATCAATAAATAATTAATTTAATTTAATATTTAAATAAAATAACTATAAATTATATAATTGAATTAAACTAGCAACATTTCAGTCACTATGTGACTACCATGACTTGTGAAATATAAATAAATAAAATTTTGCTTTATTAAATAATGACATTAAATTACATTGTACTTTTTTAAATATTGACATTTTTAAAAATATAAGCTCATCCCGATGTTACGCTCATCAAGAGCGTTCATTTGAATACCCACATGCATTTTCATATATTTTTCATATATACATATATATAAAATATATAAATATATGAAAAATTGATGTGGGTACTCAAATGAAAGGTCTCGATGAGTGTAATGTCAGAATGAGCTTATATCTTTAAAAATGTCAATAGTTCTTAAGATACAAGGTCATTTCTTAATTATGTATCTAGAGATAGAGTATCTTCGAATGCAGCCTAAATACTTATCATCATAAATTAACTATCTTAGACAAAAAATTTTTCTTATTCTCTCAATAATGTAGATAATCTTTATATTTAATAATTTTTTCTCAATTATTAAATTAAATGACTAAAGAGATCAATTAAAAAAATTATTTAATAATAAATCTCAAGACAAGTAAGTGTAAAAATATTTTAAAAAATATTTATTTAATTAAAAAATAAATAACTAAAATAAAAATACTTATTTCAGAGAAAATTAACAGCAGAGGAAAAAATTAAAAAAAAAAAAACGTATAAAGAAATGAAAAAATACTTATTAGTATATTTATGTGAGGAAAATGTGGATGGAACTATCCCTTTAGCAGCCGGTGGTCCAAGTCCAGTTCATCTGGAAGTAGCGGCGGAGGTAGAGATGGATTTCAATTAACCAGTCAGTTTGCGTTTCACTTAGAACGGCGTATAGTTGTTCTATGTACAACTGGGATACATAGACCATTCTGTACAACGTTAATTTACTAGCAAGCACGCCCTAGCTAGCATCACATCCTGAATGGGGCCACTGATGCTCCAAACCACGAATGGGCAACGAATGCCAGGCACGGTCGCTTCTTCCTTCAACTTACATCCTACACCATACTACTCCCGTCCCACCTTGCTCGCATGTACAGGACACACATCCGACTGTCACAGTCCTCGTACCTTCCGTGTAAATCAGCTTCCCATATCCTCTGAAACACTCATCCGTCGACGGAGACGATCCGGTATCTCAATCTAAATCCACCCCGTCGTCTTTCGACTCCTCATTCCTCAATTTGCACAAAGCGCCAGCCTTGATTCAATTAAATCCACTGATTATTTATTCATCGGGAGTTCTCTTCCCCAATATAGATATTTTCTTATTTCTTCCCAATGTTTTTTTAATCACTTCATTTAATTTAAATTCTCACACCATTTGCCATTTGATCCAAGCTTAGTTAATTTATTTTATAATTAATTAAACGCTTAATTCATATAAATATCGATATTTAATCATTTTATGTTGACTGGAAACCTTGCAGTCAATATGTGACTGCCGTGACTTGTGAATTATGAATAGATAAAATTTTGCTTTATTAAATTAATGACTTTCGTTAAATTACACTGTACTTTCTTAATTAATGATGTTATTAAAGATATAAGCTCATTTTGATGTTATATTCATCAAGAGCTTTCATTTGAGTACCCACATGGTATTTTTGATAAATTTTTCATATATACATATATGTAATATATATATGTATATAAATATATGATAAATTGATAAATATATGAAAAATTGATGTGTGTACTTAAATGAAAGGTCTCGATGAGTGTAACATCGGGACAAGCTTATATCTTTAAAAATGTCAATAATTTATACGACACAAAGTCATTTCTTAATTATTGATATTTTTAAAGATATAAGCTCATCCCGATGTTACATTCATTAAGACCATTCATTTGAGTACCCACATCAATTTTTCATATATTTTATATATTTATATATTCCAAGAATACCATATATAAAATATATGAAAAATGCCATGTGGGTACTCAAATAAAAGGTCTCGATGAGTACAACATCGGGATGAGCTTATATCTTTAAAGATGTCATTAGTTGACAAGATACAATGTCATTTATTAATTATTGATAATTTTAAAGATATAAGCTCATTACGATGTTTCACTCATCGAGACCTTTCATTTGAGTACCCACATGACATTTTATATATATTTTATATGTATGGTATTTGTGAAATATATAAAATATATGAAAAATTGATGTGGGTACTCAAATGAAAGGTCTTGATGAGTGTAACATCGGAATGAGCTTATATCTTTTAAAATGTCAATAGTTCATAAAATACAAGGTCATTTCTTAATAATGTATAAAAACTCATTTTTTCATATCAATATAACTGGCCACAAAGTTTTGCTTATTCTCTTAATAATATAGATTGAAATTAAAATACTCGGGTCAGTACTTTCGATTAATTATTATCGATAGCAATCGTAATTTTATCTGATAAAATAACTCGCGTTATTTAATTTTTTTTTTTAATTATCTATCTATCCTCTTAGTCTGATTTCAGGAAATTAAATTTTTTATCTCTTCCCTTAATCAGCTTTTATAAATATCAAAAAAATCATAATATGTTTTTTGTTAATTTATGATCAAATATTTCTGATAAATTTATACTATTATTATTTTTTTTAACCTAAATAATATCTATCAAAAACAATTGAAACTTATAAATAAAAGTTTTTTTTTTTTTTTTTTTTTAGATTGAAATTAAAATACTCGGGTCAGTACTTTCGATTAATTATTATCGATAGCAATCGTAATTTTATCTGATAAAATAACTCGCGTTATTTAATTTTTTTTTTTAATTATCTATCTATCCTCTTAGTCTGATTTCAGGAAATTAAATTTTTTATCTCTTCCCTTAATCAGCTTTTATAAATATCAAAAAAATCATAATATGTTTTTTGTTAATTTATGATCAAATATTTCTGATAAATTTATACTATTATTATTTTTTTTAACCTAAATAATATCTATCAAAAACAATTGAAACTTATAAATAAAAGTTTTTTTTTTTTTTTTGAAGAGTAAATAAAATATATGATGATGTGTCACACAGAGACTGTAATTAAATTTATCGAGCTAAATTTTAAAGTGACTTTAGTTAACATCCATAAAATAGAAATTTTTCCACGTTGAAATTTGAAATAATTAATAACTTTTCTGTGAATAGTTTATCAGCTTAAAATGTCCTGGAAGCGTGTGAATATTTAACAACCTATTTTATTAACCGTCATACCGAAATAAAATAAATAAATAATGAATTTCTTTCCGTATCTCGATGAAAAGTTAAATTATCAGTTATATTTACTGGTTTACGGTCACCACAAAGTAAGTTGGTATGAAAAAGTAATAGCAAGAATACAAGAGCTAATTTTATCGACAAATCAATTGAAAAATTATGAGCTATCGATTTTACTGCTACTTGCAATTGGACTTATTATGTAAAATTTAAATTAACAAATTAATTAATTAATTAATTAATTAATTAATTAATTAATTAAGTACTCTATTTAATTAATTAAGTTTTGTTTTCAGTTTAATTGGATATGAAATATTTAAAAAATGTTTCACTACTTTGGTTTCGCGCAATCAAGCCGAAACTCAACCAGTTGAAGAAATAAAATTTTCTTGCAAAGAAAATAATGAAGCTAAAGAGACATGCGGTCCGTCGACGATCTGCGAGGCCCAGGAAAATTTTAATTGTCAAATGATGCAGGTAAATGAAGTATTTATTAGATAATAATAATTAGTAATTGAATAGCAACCTTACAGTCTATTTATGAACTATAAATAAGTTAAATTTGGCTTTATTAAATAATGAATTTTGTTAAATTGCGCTGTACTTTCTTAACAATTGACATTTTTAAAGATATAAGCTCATCCTGATGTTACACTCATCAAGAGCTTTCATTTGAGTACCCACATGCACTTTTCATATATTTTTCATATATACATATATATAATATATATAAATATATGAAAAAATTGATGGGGTACTCAAATGAAAGGTCTCGATGAGTGTAACATCAAGATGAGCTTTGTCTTTAAAAATATCATTAATTGAAAAAATACAATGTAATTTCTTAATTATTGACATTTTTAAAGATATAAGCTCATCTCGACGTTACACACATCGAGACCTTTCATTTGAGTACCCACATCAATTTTATATATATTATATATATTGATATATTTCACAAATATCATATATATAAAATATATGAAAAA